TTTCTGTGTGTTTAGGTTTTACGACATAGTCTAAACAGTCTAGTATTGGGGGAATAACCCAAGTTGAATTATGTAGACATATAAGAATTTGCATTGAATTTAATGTAAATGGATATCCCCCTAATTTTACACAAACACATATATTTTGCTGAAAGTGACCCATAGTATAAAAATTGTATAAGCTACAATGTAAATGTGACACAATTTATACAAACCGAATTCAGTTTTGTTACCTTGTTCCTTCTTATAACAGCATTTGTAGATATTGACTCCTACAATGCCAAGGAGACCCGAGGGCCCCAAGGACACCCCCTACCCAACCACCAATGGTTACAGGGGTCAAATGTGTTAAATATTTTCACCAGGTTCTTTTGAATTACTTTTTTGCCTGTAGCTTACTTTTAGTTCACTTTTAAGATTCCAGTTGTGAGATTAATACCAGGTGAGTGATGCAGGCCCATGGGACCTCTTGTCAATTTCATATAGGTAAGTTTGCATTTATAATTTGTTTAAGAATAAATGTATAGCCTAGTTATGTGATTAGGTTGTAGGGAAGCCCCCTTTGCCCCACCCTTAATTAATTTCTCTACCCCAGATTAAATTTCTGTGATTTTCATATTCAGTACATCAAACTGATGTAAACTAACACAGATTAGGTTTAAAAAATGTCCCAATATAAAAAAAATATGCTGAAACCCGTCATTTCACCATTATGGTAAAGTGAAGACCCCCTGCCCTACCCTAAATTTCTCTACCCCAGACTTAATTTCTTGTGATTATCATATACAAGACATCAAACTGATATGAACTTACAAATTTCATCTAATAAAGGAGATATGAGGACAGACGAAGAGTCGTGTTCTCCTTCATTGCCTACTGTTGGTTCAGGAGTCCCTAATGGTGATGGGGTGGTCCCATTGCAGTCAGGAGCTGAAAGGTCAAATACCATTCATTTTGAATTTATCATATGTCACACTGAATGTCTATATGTATATATTTAACATATATTTATAGGTTTATTTCTAAGCAGTCAGTCTTGTACATTGTTATTTTATTCTACATTTTTACATGTTTTTTTATAAAAAAAATCATGTGTTTTATTTTCTTGAGCAAATAAAATCTTTTGAAGGAAGGCTCATGATCATATTTCCATTTCAAATTAAAGACAATTACTTCAATCATCAAGACATTTGAATTAAACAATACAATTTAGTTTTATATGCCAGGCTATCACAAGTTGAGATTTGAATCATTTCCAAGTTTTGAATTTTCACCCATTCCCCTTTTTTCTTTTAATTATTTCTTTTCGAGAACTGAAAACCCTACTGATAGTTGGTAATTTATAACCACAGTTTGCTATCTTACCTGCTTGCTCTCCAGGGGTGACACCTTCAGGCTCAATGGGTTCACTGCGTCGACCTTCCTCATTTTCTGCCAACGAATCTGATTGAGTATAAGATTTAATATAATTCCCTCTATCAGTAAAATTACCGGT